TATTTCAGGCCTACGTGATGGAAGTAATGGCTCGTGCAGAATTGATCCTGAACCGCAGAGAATCAAACGAGGATGAGTTGCGAGCGTCATTGAACGACATGGCCGACTGTGAAGTGGTCTTACGTGATTGGAACAGCAAAAGGTTGAGAGCGCTCAGAGAACGCTGGAAGGCGAAGCGGCAGGAGTTCGAACTCTGGCAGAAAGAAATGGATCATCTGCAAAGTATTGCTGTAACAGTGGAAAATAGACAGAGTCTGAACCCGTCATTAATCGCTGAACTGCAAAGCATTGAAGAAAGCTGTGATCAGATGACAATGACAGAGTTAGCACATCCACTCCGATTAGCAATTCGGCAACTCCGTGTCGTTCTGGAAAATTCTTTCAAAGAACGCCTCGAGAGTTTGAAAATGGCTGGTGAGGAGGACTGCACCGTCGCTCATAACATCGTTCAGGTTTGTATCTACAACGACCTCTTCCCAAACACACACACTCTATCTCTCTCCTGTCGTTTTCTTTACACTGGCGCCGTTTTGCGCACGCCTCCTCAGCCAACCGGCTCTCGCTGATAAAAGTACTCTCACCATTTCACGTTCTGCGTTGTCTTTGTCAAGTAGGCATGGCATTATGATAACTTGATGCAGATACAAATCATTGATCAGTTTCAAATCGAAGTTAAACGTCATTTCATGCGTTTCAATATAGTAACGATTGCGTCGATTTTACTAGTTGAGTCAGCATTGGGAATAGATGAGAAAGCATGCTTCTGTGCCATCGTAGTCATCCCCCGCTTTGATTCTGCCTGCAAAACGAAATCGATTTGAACTATTCAACGCCCCACCGCTTTTTTCTGATGACATTCATGAGAATGCATTCCTTCTGGTCGAACGTCGACTCGCTATAGCGCTTACCTCCCGACTACCATTTTGTATTGATTCCCATTCTCATCTGAACAAATGGATATTGAGCTGTGAATTAAGTTAGAAATCCTGACGACAGTTCAGTCCTACTTTGAATTGGCACGAAACTGTTAGACTTGAAAACGTTATCTTAATTGCGTAGTTTTCTTTATATCCTTCCAGAAATGCTTTTATCGCTGCGGAAACTGAATGCTAATGTTGACGCTGGGGATGTACGTGCATTTCTCGATCTCATAATTGTGTACACATGTTCAAAAAGGTTTACAGCAATGATATGTACACCGTCCAGTCGACTAATGGGAATTGTAGAAGCAGCTCTTTGCTTCACAAATTTCCTGCATAAATTATCCTTACATTATAGTTGATGTTGCAGAATGTTTCCCCGCACTTTTCGAAGGCCTAATGCAGATTCAAAGTAAAAAAAAA